TCCCTTCTTCCCCTCCCTTGGGCCCACGCACCCACCCCTGTGATCCCCTCTCCCCAGCTTCCACCCCCAGGTTTCCCCAGACCCGCCCCAGGGATCTCCCCAGCCCTCCTCTGTCCCACCCCCAGGTCCATCCCCCCTGGCCTGCCCACAGTAGTTTCTCCCACCCCCACTTCCCCTGGCTGCACACTAATGTTTCTGTTCACACAGGGAGTGGGCAGCAGTCGGTGACTGGCGTCTCTGCTGTGGATGACAGCAACAGTTACTGGAGGATTCGGGGAAAGACATCTACGGTCTTCTCCCCAGCCCTCCTCTGTCCCACCCCCAGGTCCATCCCCCCTGGCCTGCCCACAGTAGTTTCTCCCACCCCCACTTCCCCTGGCTGCACACTAATGTTTCTGTTCACACAGGGAGTGGGCAGCAGTCGGTGACTGGCGTCTCTGCTGTGGATGACAGCAACAGTTACTGGAGGATTCGGGGAAAGACATCTACGGTCTGTGAGAGGGGGACGCCTGTGAAATGTGGGCAGTCCATCCGGCTGACCCACATCAACACTGGGCGAAATCTGCACAGCCATCATTTCACATCACCTCTCTCTGGGAACCAGGTAATCACTGGAGTTGTGCGTCGACAGCTGCAGGCATCACACTGACTCATTCCCTTGGTGCTGCCTGAGCAGGGTCTCTGTGGGAGCTCTGTGGTAGAGCACCAGCTTTGGCCCCCTTCTCTGATCACTGAGTGATCTGTACTTGCTTGAGGGTGGTTGGACAGGACAAGTCTTGACCTGTTTGACAGCTGCAATGGAGCTTCCCTGGGACATTGACACTGGCTACCCTGTTCTTCCTGTGTGCCTGAGGGAGGAGAAGGGCACTCGACTGCAGCGGGAGAGACTTGTCTGTAAATCACTGTCATGAAAGGCAAGTCCTTGAGGGTCCCTTCCCCCTTTTCCAGTGTCCACTGTGTGAGTCCTCCAAACCTGACATGGTGGGATGCTTCAGGTGAAGGGGCCCAAATGCCTGCCCAGTGCTCAGAATTAGAGGTTTCTCCTTCCAGTGAACGCCTCTCTCAAGAACAGGATCATTCCACCGTCTGACTCTTCTCTGTGTGGCTCACTCTGCCTTCCAGGAGCCCGTTTTAATGGTGTTTCCTTCTGCTGCTGTTTCAGGAAGTTAGCGCGTTTGGGGAGGATGGCGAAGGAGACTACCTGGATGACTGGACTGTTCTGTGTAGTGGGACCTACTGGGTGCGGGATGGCGAAGTACGGTTCAGACACTCATCTACTGATGTGCTCCTGTCTGTGACCGGGGAGCAGTACGGGCGACCTATCCATGGCCAAAAGGAAGTGCATGGCATGTCCTACTCCAACCAGAACAACAACTGGAAGGTGATGGAGGGGATCTTCATGAAGCCCAGTGAGCTGTTGAAGACTGACTCTTACCACGCTGAGTTATGATGCACTGCGCTGGGGCTCCTCAGTACCCTTACCACACAGTGTTCAGCTCTGGTCTGCCTCTAGATGCTTCTCGAGAGACTCTGTTCCTCAGTGGTTGGCACAGGCCAAGGAGCAGAGCCCTTGGTCCCCTGGTTATTCTTGTGTGACTCATTCTGTGTGTTATTTAGGCCTGTGTCTCTCAGGGTCCTACTGCAGTTGGCATTCTCCCTGCAGAGGGGCTAAGAGAATCTCTCCCTCCACAGGAAAAGCAGAAAGAGGGGACTTGTTTGTCACCTTGTACCGAGCCCATTCTCCCTGTAGCTACCCTCTGGGAGTCAGCTGCCGTGACATCTTGTCTCTGTAAGCGCCATGGTGCTGATGTTCATGCCCAGCCGTGCCTGGTGGGGGGAAAGTTGCCGACTAGAACTGGGCTCATAAAAAAAAAAATCAATTGTCAAAGAGTAGGTGATGCTTTATCTTGCTCCCCGTCATATTTGCTTCCCGACTGAATTACTCCAGCAGGCATCGAAATCAACAGCAGCTCCCACGGGGCAGGCAAGGGTCACGATGCATCCACTGACGAGTGGCACAGATTAAAAAAAGAACTAATAGCACTTACGAAATAAAAAAGCCCCCGACCGCTCGTGTCATGTCATCTGAGCGCCAGCCGAGGCGCGGCCAGCAGCAGCTGGTGAGAGAAGGGGCACTGGGTGAGGAGAAGGACAGTTATTTGGGTGTAAACCTGTATGTAGGCATTGTCTGTCCCGCCTGCTCATCCAAAATGGGGTGAAAATGCTGTGTTGCCGATCCCAGGGACACAGAGCATAGAAGTGTCTCGGCCAGGTGTGGCCAAGGCTTGTCTCTGAACACAGGCACGGAGGATAGTAGGGCTGGTTGTTTCTGAAGGCTTAATGGGGGAGATGCCTGATAGGGATGGGAATGTTTAACCAGTTAAGGGTAACCACTGGGGGCTGCTTCAGCCCTGTAGGGGACCTGCGGTTTGCCGATCCCAGGGACACAGAGCATAGAAGTGTCTCGGCCAGGTGTGGCCAAGGCTTGTCTCTGAACACAGGCACGGAGGATAGTAGGGCTGGTTGTTTCTGAAGGCTTAATGGGGGAGATGCCTGATAGGGATGGGAATGTTTAACCAGTTAAGGGTAACCACTGGGGGCTGCTTCAGCCCTGTAGGGGACCTGCGGTTGACAGGGAGGAGGAGCCAGAATGCACAGGGAGCTGGCTTAAAAGCTGGCGCTCTGCTCGCGCCGGCTCTCGGGAGCTGACTGCTGCCCCACCTGTAACCACTGATATTTTCTGCAGTTACATGGTTAGTTAAACACGTTAACGTGCCCACTTTTGATCATGACCCTTTCTTCCCCACAGCATCCCCCCTGCTTTCAGGCAGGAGGTGGGGGGCTCGGGCACATTCCTAATGACCAGTCCAGCTCTATTGCTGTAAACGGCTTGGATAACGCTCTCCCAGGGTGCGGGTTAGATGCAGCCTGGAGCAGCAGAAAGGGAAAGGCCTTCCCCTGGGCTGGGGATTCCTCACTTGTGTGTAGGTCTGGGACCCCTCGGAATAATCCCGCTCCAGTTTGAACGGGCGTCTCAGCACCACCCCTGCAGCGGCCCAGAGGGGAGTGAGCCACAGCCACTGCCCCACAGATGCCGCCTCCAGCACGAACTGAGGCCCGGGGGGTGGCAACAGTGCATGGAGGGGGAACTTGCCCTACTGTTCCTAGGCCTGCACTTGCAGAAATGAGAGGAAACCTCCCTGCGGCCCATGGATGCCCCAGCTTTCTCAGGCCCTCGCTTCACTAACACGTGCCCCAAGCCTGGCCAGGGGCCTAGTGACGGGAAGAGAGCTCATGTGATGCCAATATTCAGAAAGGGCTCTAGAGGCGACCCTGGCAATTACAGACCGGCAAGTCTAACAGCAGGGCCGGGCAAATTAGTTGAAACTATAGTAAAGAATGAAATTGTCAGACACGGGGATGAATAGAATTTGTTGGGGAAAGTCAATATGGATTCTGTAAAGGGAAATCCTGCCTTGCTAATCTGCTAGAGTTCTATGAGGGGGTCAACAAACCTGGGCAAGGGGGAGCTAGTGGATAGAGTGCACTTAGATTTGCAGAGAGGCTTTAACAAGGTCCCTCACCAAAGGTTCTTAAGTTATCATGGGATAAGAGGGAAGGGCCTTTTGTGAATTAATAACTGGCTAAAAGACAGGAAAGAAAAGGTAGGAATAAATGGTCAGTTTTCCGAGTGGAGAGAAGTAACTGGTGGGGTCCCCCAAAGGTCTGTCCTGGAACCCATCCTATTCAACTTATTTATAAATGATCTAGAACAAGGGGTAAACAGGCAGCAAAATTTGCAGATGATCCCAAACTGCTCAAGATAGTTAAGACGAAAGCAGACTGAAGAGCTTCAAAAAGATCTCACCAAACGAAGTGACTGGGCAACAAAATGGCAAATGAAATTTAATGTGGATAAGTGTAAAGTAATGCACATTGGAAAACATCTCAACTGTACATACAATATGATGGGAACTAATTTGGCTACAATTACTCGAGAGAGAGCTCTTGGGAGTCGTGGATAGTTCTCTGAAAACATCCACTCAATATGCAGCGGCAGTCAAAACAACAAATAGAATGTCAGGAATCATTTAAAAAGGGATAGAGAATAAGAGAATATCTTATTGCCTCTGTATAAAATCATAGGACGCCCACAGCTTGAATACTGCATATAGATGTGGTCACTTCATCTCAAAAAAGATATATGGGCATTGAAAAAGGTTCAGAAAAGGGCAACAAAAATGATGAGGGGTTTGGAACGGGTCCCATATGAAGAGAGATTAAAAAGACTTGGACTTTTCAGCTTAGCGAAGGGGAGACTAGGGGGAATATGATAAAGGTCTATAAAATGACAGGTATGGAAAAAGTGATTAAGGAAAACATATTTACTTATTCCCACAATAAAAGAACTAGGAGTCACCAAATTAAATGAATAGGCAGCAGGTTTAAAACAAAAGGAAGTTTCCTTCACTGAGCGCACAGTCAGCCTGTGGAACTCCTTGCCAGAGGATGTGGTGAAGGTCAGGACTTTAGCAGGGTTCAAAAAAGAGCTAGGTAGATTCCTGGAGGTTAGGTCCATCGATGGCTGTTAGCCAGGATGGGGAGGAATGGGGTCCCTACCCTGCGTTTCTCTGGAGGTGGGTGACGGGAGGAATCACATGGGGATTACCTGTTGTGATCCCTCCCTCTGGGGCATCTGGCATTGGCCACTCTCGGCGGACAGGATTGTGGGCTGGATGGATCGCTGGTCTGACCCAGGCTGGCCGCTCATGTTCAGGGGCTGGCGCTCTAGGGCGGCTGTTATTCTTTGTCCTTGCTAGCCCAGCTCCCAGCCCCTGGCCCATTCACCACCCGTGGTGATTTCACTGGGGAAGGAGAGCTGGGAAGGGTGCACAGAGGACTGGAGACCAGGCCGCTTCCCTTGAGTATTACCATGGTGTGGCTAGCGCTGTCTGAGAGCAGCTCTTCTCCACGGCCTTGAAGGCAGCCATGTTCCTGGGGCGCCACCACTGGGCCATCCTTTTAGCAGGGTGCTGCTTGGTCTCGTCAGCGGGCTGTCAGGACAGTACTGCTGCCGGACTCCAGCAGGACCTGGGGGAGTACTGCCCCCCCCATTCCCAGCACAGGCTGCTCTGTAGCAGGGGGCCTCGAACAGAATGGAAACGGGTGGGTCTGGCCTGCCTGGCTCCGTCGCAGACGTGCTGGCCCCAGCCTAGGGATGTAAAATCCTGTCTAAAAGGTTAACTGGTTTAAGTAGGTGTAACTGGTCAGCTGGCCCGATGCATTGCACGGGGGATAGGGGCTGCTCCGTCCAGCCTGGGCGTGGCCAGCCCCACTGCTGCCCTGCCCTCCCAACCCCCAAGGTGGAATTGTTTGGGGGGGGCCGTTCCCAATGGGCAGGTGCCAGTGTCATCAAAATCCCATTTTGGCACTTACTGGCTGCTGCTTGGCAGCCTCAGTAGAGGCCAAGGGTTCCAGCCAGGGACTGAATTTCCTTCTCCCCCTGGGCCAGGTTCTCCAGGCGGGGAGGAGGCCCTGTTCTAGGAATAAGCAGGGCTCAGCCCCAGAGCCGCAGCAGGGGAAAGTGCAGGCTCCAGTGCGGGGCGTGCACTCGGCCAGACACAAAGTGCTTTTGAAAGGGGTTTGGTCCCATCCTGTTCAACTGGGAAAGAAGCCGGGATGGCCTGGCACTGGGTGCTTGGTCCTGGACAGATGCTGTCTGCCTTGGACGCCAGGCTGCCGGCTGCCTGGGCATCATGAAGGTGCTACGATCCGGTGGGTCCAGGCTCAGTGGCTGTGCAGGTCCAGGAGGTGCTGGGGGGCCATGGTGATGGGCGCACTCTCCCAGCCCTGTCAGCCACACCCCCGCTTCCTGATGCTGCGGGTGCCAGGCCTGGTGGGGCAGCCCAGGGTGGCTCTGGATGCAGGATGCGCCCTCCCTCCTGGGGCCTGGCTAGGGGCAGGGGCAGGAGCAGAGAGGTGCCC